CTATCAAGATTCTCAATAAGTCCTTCATGAACTAATTCCTTTTACTAGGGCTACGATGTAGCCTAGCTATGAATACTCAAATTCTTTGATATTGTTAATTTTATTTATCTATACATGTTGAGTGCTTGTTACCGTTCTTAATGCTTTCAATTAATTGGCCACTAATTGCATGATTGGAAGAATTAGGTTGAAACCAGAAGGAGATTCCTAATAAAAAGCTTCTAGTAACAAGTACCATAAATTACATAGCCGACTCGGAAGATTAGGTTATGGTTTGTGTAATCTTCATTGTTTTCCACAAATCTTAATGGGTTCTTAGCTATCTAAATCCATAACTATGAATAGAGTGGGTTGACTGTAAGGAATACAACTAATATAACTCGGAAGAGAGTATTAGTGAGGTTAGGGAAAATGATTATCAACATGTTAGGTAATTAGGATTAACAAGCTAGAAGGATTTGGGAGGGATTAGCTAGGTGAAATCGATGCCCTAGTGCTTTATCATCTTTGTTTTCATCTTTTACATTATTTCCGTAATCTCAATTTATTTTGCTTGCTTAATTAGATTTTAATCATCATAATTCTCTTTTCGTTTAATTCAAATATAATTCGAAATAAATCACTCTAGTATTTAATAGATTACTTGATCCCTGTTGGAACGATACTCTACTTACTACTATATTAATTTGAGCGATATTGTCCACTTGCAATTAATCACATCAAATATTGCTGAGACCGTGCAAATAGTCAGCACCTCGGCCAGCGCTCCAATGACGGTCACTTGCATAGCCGAGTCCATGGAAGAACAAGCTCTGGTGGAGGATCTGATGGCTAAGCAGGCCCACAGGATAGAGACATCCTCTATGGCCACAATGGACAGATTTTCCTCAGAACTACGGACGCTCTTTCAGGAGAGGATGCCAATAACTTCGCCCGCTACACCCCCCAGAGCCGGGCAGAGAAGCCAAGAGCGCGAAAGGATTGAGCCCTACAGGGAAAGCAGCAGCCTCGGCGCCACTGGCCGCGCACCAGCGTCAGGCTACGGTCAGCATTCTCTGCCGTCGACGAATTGCTGGGGGCAGTCCCAGCAGACATGGGCAAATCCCGGCCCAACTTACCCAGCAGAAACGCCGTACGGCCCAATCCATGCTTTGGCCGTATCATTAGGGCAGAATAGCCCCACACATTCCGCGGCCCAACAACTCAGTCCAATCCATACTTTGGCCGTCCAAACGCAGCCTGGCCCCAACGCGTCCACGGCATCATTACAGCAGTACGACCATAAAACTATGGCCGTAGTGCAGCCATTGCAGACGCCGATATTCCCGTCGGGTTCCCAGCTTCAGTACGGTTCGGCCGTCCCGACGACAACACAGACGTACTCAGGCTCCCACTACCAGAGTGGTCCAAACCGGCAACAGGTGGCCACGCCTTTGCGGCAGGTAGACCACACGCACTCTGGCCAAGCCCATAACGCTTACCAAGTGCAGTTCGGTTCAGTCACCGCGGCCGAGCCCATCGTTTAAATGGCCCAGCAGATAAGGCCACAGAACGATGCACAACAGGTCTTGCGACCGTTTGCAGCCCAGCTGGAGCCGCCCCCTCAGGGTCTTCAAGCCGAAGAGGTTCGGCAAATGATGTTGTTCTCCGGGGACGGACATACCTCCTCCATCGAGCACATAGGCCGTTTCACGGCCCAATGTGGGGAGGCTGACTCAGATGCCCAAAAACTCCAATTGTTCGTTCATTCCCTAACCGGCGTGGTGTTTTCCTGGTTTATAAACCTTCTACTGAATTCGGTAAGGGACTGGGCCGACATGGAAAGGATCTTTCATGAACACTTTTACCAGACTAATCGGGAGATAACCATAACCGAGCTGGCAAGGATGAGTCAGGCCGTAGACGAGACACCCCGTGATTACTTGCAGCGATTTAAGACGTGCAGGAACTAGTGCCGAACGAACCTAC